ACCTTCACAGATAAGCCCATTTGGTCTCATTCACTGGTCATTGGATTCAACTTATTTCTGTGTACTACTCGTAAGACGATTAGGTTTGATATTTCATCAGCTATCGGATGACGCTAACGGTCACGCTTTTCAGAGCGAAGCGACATCACAGTGCCTTCGGATCTATTGGCTTCATAAGCGTAAAACACAACTCGAGAGAACGAATCCGAAATCGGGTATTTTAACTCACCTAAGCACCAACGAATTTACATTGAGAGCGTGGCGCGGACACTTTCCAAACCGTCCCTAAGTGACGAATATGCACATGTTCACGGACAGCCGTATAGAAACCATACACAAAGGACGTAAAAAGAACGCCATGGTTCTCCACTTCGGAGAAAAAATCGACGGAGATTCCGCACGTTTCATTGCTTTACAATCTCAAAGCAACTGAGATTCGAGAACAACTTTTGGGCTAGATTAATCCTGTTTGAGAGGGAATTGAATCAGTCTCCAGAGTAATTCCTGGGAGTGACTTTTTTGTGGCCCACCTTACCGGCCTTTCCGGCACCACCTCAGACCCAAATCTACTATTAGAGGAGGACCTCGAATTTCCAAAATCAACTGATTTCAAACGAATGTTGGTGAAGCTAATCAGCGGTCAATTGCCTGGTAATGTCCTCTAAGTCATAAAAGCGTGTCTATGAGTAATTAGGGGGAGTAGGAAATCATCTCGTGTGCTTTTGGGGTAGAATAGAAGGTGTGAGGAAACCAGGTATCGAATCGGACCTTGTTATCCGACAATCTTTTTTAACCCCATCCGAAAATGTCTGACAAATTTTTTGTCTTCTCATAAATAATTCAGCGGGTTTTCCAAAAATAACTTGCAGTGAAGTCCAGAATTCTGTAAGGTATGTACCAGACTACTCTAATCAATTTGTCCACTCATGACTCCCTAAGGGCACACCGTCTATCATTCCAGTCCAGCTATCTGGTACAAATATGACTACTGGACACAAATCCAGTGGTAGCAATTCACATCCGAGGATTCTTGATCTCCCTTCTCTTCACTACTGTCGTCTCCGGGGTCACTGGATTCTTCCACATTGTCCGACGAAGGTCTTAACGAAAATTATTTGATGTTGAAAATATTATTACACGTCGGGGAACACGACAAGGAAGTTCCAGAAGTTAAAGTGCGCACTTCTACCAGATGGCGGACTTTCTAATTTGTGTTTGTTGTTACAGTTGTCCGCACTATGCATAAGGCCTATTTCAATAACAATAAAGGATCAAGGATTCCGGATCATATTTTCCCAAACGGCTACGGGAATCCGTTAACTGCCCTGCTCACCATCTTCGGGCTCAGCAGAGATTGTGTTGGAGCTGACCAAATACAGTGAGCAGAGCGCTTGGGCTCTGGATTTCGCTGCACCCACCAGACACTACGCAGGACTACAACCATCTCCACTAGGTTTGGTCATCTTCAAAAAATACGCTTTGTTGATCAACTGTCAATTAGGGCCCCACTAACCTTTGGCTTTATTTGCTACTGGACCAGGAACCAGGGGCCTCAAGCGCAGACTGGAAGCTTCTGCCGTGCAGGTTTTTTATCGAAGCGTATCCTCTTGACCAACTTAAGCCGGGACCAGCTTCAGCGGAAAGGACTTACAAAATCATTTGAAAGAAAATTCGCGAGATTGAAGCGATGCTCGCTCCAAAGAATCCAGCGCGCAGTCAAATGGGCCAAAGGCTACTCAAAAGAATTCGGTGTTTTCTGGGAGCAAGATCCAGGCTACTCTTGAAAAAATAGCCGCGGGACACAGAGTATGAACTGACGCTTTGTAAAACGCGGGACCGCTGTGAATCAGAAATCCGCAAATGAAACATAGAGAAACGGGCCACGATAATCGACCTTGACCGAATAATGAAGCGCTTGAAACATCACCGAAGAAGTAAGCCAGCCGCATTCTCCTCGTTGGACAGAACGTGAAATCTCACGGATGACCAGATCGTGGCCTCTTAGGCCCACGGTGATCATTGTACAAAGTTTGCTCTAACCCAGTGACGTCATGAAATTCAGTCTCGTCAAACCTCAATAGGTGGGCCAAGAGAACTTGATCGTCACGGAGGAGGTCGTTCATCAACTCTTGCACCAAACAAAACCTTTGAACGCGTTGTGGCCAGACGAGACCCACCAAAGGGTCCTGAAGAAAAACGTCACTCACCCTGGCAAAATAATTGTGCTAGGTGTTTCATCAGTTGCTATATGAAGTCGACCTTCCATCTTCTTGTAAGTAAGCGACTGTCACGCCAATCCAGACACTGTTAACCGTCTATCTGCCGGCAGCTAAAGGCCTACTCGCCTCACTAGCATAAGTTGTAAGGTGATGGAACGCACAGTGAAGCAAGCAAACTTAGATCACCTTAGACCAAACAACCTGATACCTCAAGTGCATCACGTATTCCTCCAAAACCGCTCATGCGTTACGAACAGTCTTGTGTTTATGGACAGGTTGGTCAAAGATAAGGACGAAGGATTCACCACAAAAGCGATATTTTTTGACTATCAAAAGCATTCGATCGCATCACACACCACCTACCGCTCCATATGCTTTAGTCCTGTGGGATTCAAAAGCGATTCTACGATGTACCAAGGGGTTTCCATTGGAGAGAACATTCCGAGTGAAAGCAGGCTTGCTCTACTTTACTTCGGCATTGGTCTTCATTTGAGTTCCTCAAAGCTCTGTTTAGGAACCAATTAGGTGTCCGATATACGTCAGTAATCTTCCGGATGTTCTTCCAAGTCCACGCCCACTCTTTATGAATGACTCGCAACCCTGGAGTTCAAATATCAGTGCTCTCCAAATGGATGCACACACTGCAATCAGTGGTCGTTGGACTGACACCTCCCGAGTGAGGAAATGTTAACTCGTATGACACTCGGGGGAGACCAAGCGATTGTGCTTATGCCAAGAATGGATTAGAAGATAGTACGGAGATAGATATCAACAAAGATTTAGGTATTTGGCTCTCTTCAAAAATATCGTTCTCACACAAATGGTGACCGCCTACCCCCTGGCAGCTACAGACCTAAGGCCTCATTAACGTATCGGGCAGGGTGGTGAGAAGTATTTTGGAGCGAGTCACCTTATACCAACTTAGCCCAAACAATTTGATATCTGCAGTGCAACACAGATACCTCCAAACCATTCTTGCATGACGAACATTCTGACGCTTATGGAAAGCTTGACCCAAGCCACGGATGAACAACTGATAATGAATGCCATACTTTTCAACTTTCCGAAGACATTCGATCGAGTCACAAACTCGTCACTGCTCCGCAGACACGGAATTTAAGGAGATATGCCGCGACGGATTAAGACATTCCTATCGGATAGAACATTCCGAGTGAAATTAGGTTCAGTCTACTGTTTTCAGGCGCATATCTAAATTGGATTTACTCGGGGATCTGTTTTTAACCACTTCCGTTTCTGATCTACTTCAACGACCTTCCGGATGTTCTTTCAATTTCATGTCTACTGTTTGCAAACGACCTGCACTCCAGGAGTTCCAACGCCGGCGCCCTTCAAATAGAAGCGGACGCTGCAATGCAGTTTTATAACACTGGCACCTTCCTCTCAATGACAAAAAGTGGGTCCATATGTCTTTCGGAGGAGACTCAGCTGATGCCCCCGTAATGCAAGCTGGGGAAGGAGCGGGAGAAATAACGAGAATAGATAATGAAAAAAATTTAGGCACCTGTTCCCTCTAAAACATATCCTTCTTGCTTCACTAAGAGAAAGCAACCGTAAAGGCATTTGTTGTTCCGCGGATGATTCGACGAAGCTTAACCGTATTGCACGCTTACATCAGACTGCTTCTTGAATGTGGCAACCAAGATGTAAGAGAGACGTAACCGTCATTTGCACTTCCAACCAGCTTCTACGAGAATGACTGACAGGCTTAAATCTGTGGGACATGAAACGCGTATCGCAGTGCTTGACATCTTTCCCCTGAGGCATTCTCAACGTTGATGATACCTGTTATTCACTTCTCAGTACAGGTTTTCAATGACTGACGCAAATGACACAGTGGGGACATGGTGAGGGTATTTTCAAGCTCGAAGCGCGCACCCTTATTAGGCAACTATTTTTCTCATTTCTGGAAGTCTGTGAATAAGATAATCTTAATCCTACGTTGCGCGCACTGTGTCTAGTACCTAGTTCAGAGCACTTCTATACGCCGCTTTATAATGGCAATCGTTAATTGCCCAAATTGTAGGCAGTATGCCAGCGAAAACCTCGCGCTGCGAAGCAGTGGTCGTTGGACTGGCGCCTTCTTCTGAATGATGAAAAGTGCGTCCATATGTCGTTTGGAGGGGATTCGGCAAAGGGTCTTTGTTATGCATGGTGAGAAAGGACCAGAAAACATCATGAGGATTGATGCTAAAAGGATTTGGGCATCTGAGTCTCCTCAAACTTGTCCTTCTCATTACACCATGAGAAATCGGCCCAAAAGGCATTCGCCATTTTACGGATGATCCGACGCACCTTCTCCCGTATTACACACATGGACTTCCAAATACTCTATGGGGCCTACGTCAGATCGCTCCTGGAGTACGCCAACCAAGTTGTCTACTCAGGACGCACGAAAGACTTCACCCTCATTGAGCTTGTCTAGCGGGCCGCCACGAGAATGGTTGCCGGGTTCAAATTCGTGGACCATGAAACGCGTCTCGCGATGCTTGATCTCTTTCCCCTGTAGTACCGTCGCCTCCTAGGGGACCTAATTCTTACTTATGCCCTGTTTGAACAAAGCTTTGCAAACAGGTTTTTTACCGTTGACCCAGCAAACACCCGGCGAGGACATAGTAAGAAAATTTTCAAGCTCAGGGCACACACATCCGTTAGACAAAACTTTTTTTCATTTCGGGTAGTAGCTGCGTGGAATGACCTTCCTCCGACGGTTGTACACGCTCCTTCTCGAACCCAATTTAAAGCACTATTAGACATTTATTTATGCGAATCCTCGCGCTGGCGAGCATACTGCCCCGCGCTGAGAACATAAAGAGCAGTGCTACACCCTTTTTTCACTTGTACCTTTCAAGCGAACGACAGCCACTGACCGAAAAGAACAAAACTGACCCGGGAAACCTGGGCGAAAGCCTCGATTCTGTGTATCAACCCGTGAATCCGCGAATCTGCGCTGGCAAGCTTACTGCCCCTCACTGGGAACTTAAGGAGCAGCGCTGAACCCTTCTTCCGCTCGTTCCCCTCTGGTAAAAAAAGCAAATGAACGGCAAGAATAAGCCTTAATCAGGACGCTTTGCCGAAAGCCTCGAATCGTTACATCGATCCGCGAAACTATCCGTTGAACGGTCCAAAAATCCAAACTCAAGGTCATAACCATGACAACAGTGGGCCCCAAAAAGAAATGTCATTAACAAAAGCTAGGTAAAAACATCAGCTTGATTTGCTTATAAAACCCTCGTTAGTGCTACAATCTCAATAAAAGACGTGGGACAGAAAACATCGGTCAAACCTACCCATTATCCAAGACGGCTACGGCCTATCGAGGGAAAGCTGTCAGCGGCTAGTAAAAGTATTATTGAAAATGGGAAGAACTTTTTCCAGCAAAGGCTCACAAAGTCTGATATTAACCGGTAGGTGTATCATTAAAAATCAAGATCAGTTTTAAAGTATCGCCCTCCGGGTTAATACTAAACCTTTTATGAACCGTTTGAAAAACTGAACATCTCGGTTGAATCACGGGATTCACTCCGTAGGATTTCACGTGTAATACGCCGATGTTTAAAGATCCGCCATTCATATGGCTCTTTGTTGGTTTTTGGTGCCTTGTTGAGTGTCCCAATATGTGCTAGTCAGCACAGAACCGCAACTAATTTTGGTATATCTCCAGTGGGAGTTTGGGTGATGTTTCCAATTTTTTTGTTTGTAGGGATGAAATGCCGTCTATTACTCTAGCGTTAGCTTCGCATTCACAGAAGTGCATTATTTTCTTCTGATGTGGCCACCAGCGAAGCGTGCTATTATTCACTGAACCAGTCAGTCTTAAGGCCTTGATATCTTCACCGTAGTGAATCACTGAAGGTTTTGTTGCAGCAACGTTAAACTCATTCTTTGTTCTTACCTAGCTTACTTATTCATTATTTAAAAGCTACCTAAAAATTACTTTACCCAGCATCGTGACAGACTGTGTTGATTCCTAAACTCTTTCAAGCTTTGCATGGTTTATTTTATTTCGCTTTATCAGTAATAAACCGTGTAATACTTGTACACTGTTTCCAGTCGCTGTCTTGCTAGTGGGAAAGGCCAGTGCTTCTCTGCAGTACAACAAGATAAGAGAAAAGGCAAACTACCAGACCAACATAGCCTAAAGCCAATTGGGCAGTGGGACACAACTTTACAGTCTATCTTGAAGGGTAATTGCATGTTTTATTCACTTTTGTTAGCAAGCTGAACTGACACAAATACCTGGAAGCAAGATACATTATTTTCCTCATGAAGTTCTCTGGGAGGATGCAGCTCAAAGTTCTTCTGCAGCAAGATGTTTGTTTCAACAACGTATAGGTTTTTACCCTTAATACAGGCAACCAAAAAATTATGTTTAGCCACCAATTTTTGACGCTGAAACACTCAGAGGCTTCACTGATAGAATGTCTGTTTTTTTCTTGCCTTCATTATCAAATAGTTTTCGGTCATAGAATCTACCTTGACAGCGCTCTGCTGATCTTACCAAAATCTAAGCTTTGAGGTAACGCACACACACAATATGAAATCAAAAAAGTTGGTACGACGCCACTTATTGGTAAAATATTACTATTTCCTGTTGGCTAGCAAAAGCAATGGTTTTTTATACACTAGTGGCACCACACTGACCATGCGGTCTGGATTGATAACTCTCTGCCTGCATAAGGATGCTGTTTGTAATAAAGAATAGGAAGATGGGTCAGAAACGCTCATTAGGAGACTCTAAATCTCCTTTTAACTGCACAAATATCCACACCTGTAGTTGTGCGGAAACGACATTCTCAAATGTCAGCGTTTTAAATATCACGGTTGTGTCAAAAAACCTGTCAAATCTTATAGACACAATTCTATGCTGTCATTTTGCGAAGCCACGTACAATCACGGTCTGCCTGATTGTGAACTCTATTAAGGACGCATCTGTTGTTAATGAAAGCTCCACAGATTTCAGACTCTCCGGAGTTTTGTGAGGTATCCACTACTGATGATTCCCAGTAAGGATGAAACAGCTGTACAGTGCTTCTCGGCTTTTCAGAATAAATTGGCTTCGCTTACAGGACGAAATCTCTACAAAATTCTTTGTCAACCGTCTCATTTTGTGCTTCAAGTTACCATGACCTCTAGGAACACATGAATATTCAAGCCTTACTTTCTGAGTACCCGAGGTTGGTTGTTCAGCGTTGTTTGATATGTTTTTACTAGGCAACAGCGTTTTTGTGTTCAGTTTGCACAAGAGGACCTTAGAAGGTCACACAATGCTGGAAGATTGAAAAAGTCACAATCTATTTAGCTACAACTCGCTGTTCCTTAAAAAGCTTGTTCGTAGGTGTTAAGTCACCATTCATAGGAGATGGGATTGGTTCTGCTAACATGGAAGGACATAGATCTCATAATGAGTAAACTCATAATAGGGCAACAATTCATTGTTCCCAATATACCTCCAAAACCGCAAAAAAGAGCGTCTTATGTTTCCGCTGATAGGATATAGAAGATATCGTAGTACATTTTCTTCAGGGGAAACTACTTATACGGTCTAGGAATTTCCAACAACCTTACAAGCAGTTCTCTCCACGGGAATGCTGATACGGTTTTGTTTTTGGCCCTTATGTGGTCCTAATTCATTTCCATCAGATTGTTGTTCACCACCACATGAATCTAAGCGGCCAGATCATAATAACTGTTATGCGTGAGGAAATGGTATATCCTGATGAAAAGGAATGATAAAGGCTTTACAGGTGAACAGAAAACATTCGTTTCGTAAATCATGCTTGCAAGTACTGCCTAAATGGACTCGGCTTGTCCATCAATCGTGTTTTCAATTAGCCACACTCTTGTAACCGAGCTTATTTTGCTGGTCCTATCGTCATTATTGTCTATGCATAATAAACCCACTCATATCACACCGTGAACTACATTCTGTGGAAACCAGGTAACTGAGGGAAAGCACAATGGTACAATTACGTTCGAAGGCTGTCATTATTGTGCACCTTACAGAAGATCGATATTTTACTACTTCTGGAGAAAGCACAGCTTTCTTAGAAATCGGTTAAACTGGACAATATTTCAGTGGAGATGGTAAAATTTGGACGCAACACGAGTTCTTACATTTGAAATAGTGGGGTACGACTTGTATCAAAGAACGCTTTCAAAAGCGAAATATCAAATGGCACCCTTTACTTCTCTTCTCCTTTCTTAGGTACCGATTGAGCCACTATGAAAACGTGTGCATCAGTTTGCTTCAGAGTGGCTATCACTCTGCCTTCACGGAGCTATTTACTCTTGTCGAAACACAGAAACAAACCCACGCCAAAACTGATCAAAGTTCGACATTCAGGTCTTCTACTTTATTGAGAGAGCGGTCTGACATTCTGCATTCAACGGTAGACTATCTGATCCAAGCAGAACTAGCCGAATGGGCCCGGGATTATGATGAGGAATACAAAACCCTTTTAAGGGCCGTGGATTTTTTTCGTTCGAAAACCAATGAAGATTATCTGGTCAACCACTTCTTGTGGAGATGCAGTCAGGTTGCCAATAAAACTCTCAGACTTTTTCGTGTTCTGAGTCAAAAGTCAGAAGAATCGCCGAGTGAGGAATTTTCGCATTTCGGCGATATTGCTTCCTTGTTGGCCAAGGCAAAGCGGCGTGCAAACGAAGCCTCGTTTCACATAATGACATTTCTGGCTGAAACAGGTAAGCAGACCATATTTATCGTCAAAAGCGTATGCGTTTTTGTGGCATTTCCATCATTCACTGGTACTGCGATTTTCAAAGTAATGGAAGAAAGACACAAAATTCGTGTAGTTTACTGAATGAAATCGAAAAATCTTAGTTTATAGCTATCACCTTTAAAGCAATTCAAATCGTGTTGTATCAACTAGGAACGCGCATTTAGCCTTGCTTAGCTCATTGCGCAAAGCGGGTAAAAACCGTTTTATAGCAAAAGAGACCAGGATAAATAGTTGAGCCTTCAAGGACATTAGTACTCACTTAATTCTGGATAACGGACCAAAAGTCTACAATTCAAGTACGATCACTGATCAGTGATGTGATTTATGTGGCCTCAAATACAGAAACAATGGTGCACATGACTTTTGGAACCGAACTGTTTGTTGGTGTGTACTGGTTGTCGTATAGCATTTGGCTCTGCGAGCCTCAAGAAGGGTGACTGAAGTCAGTTGTTAATTAATTGGTTGGCAATAAAAATCGTGCTGCAAACGAACGGCCTGAATTTCCAGTTTTATGTCGGACGCTTCCGTCAAACAACCACACGTTAACAGAACCCTTAATTTTTTCATGGATTCTCAAAAATGAGAAACCACAGAGGTGAGAACACCACACCCTTTCAGTTCACTCTCAAATATCTGAGCATGAAATCGTATGCATGGCGTTCATTCAAAAGCTAACGGGTGTGATCACAATGGTGGTCTAAGGAGACACTGGTCTAGATCGCCACAAGCGCCTCAGGCTGATTTGTAGCAAACCGTGAGCGGAGCTCTAACGTACGAGTATGGTCTGAAAAATTCACTTCAGACAGGACGATTGGTAAAACAGCCTCCATGGAATTGCTGATTTGATCAAAATAAATGATATTCTTCGCTCACGAACATGAACTTTTTGTTCGAATGGCCGACAGGTGAACGCGGATTGGTAAAAATATTTGAGCGGCATAGATATGTTTGCAGTTTATACCTAGGGGTAGGAAAATGAGATGTAAACAACAGTGAGTAAAACGTATTTGCTGTATATTAAAAAGAGCCCCTCGTTTCGAAAGGGAAATACTAAAATGTGTTCTCCTTGAGATCCAACACTCTTGGGACAGACCACTGTGCTAAAACCTGTCGCAATTTTTTCTGCATTTTTTACTAGCACGTACTAGAGCAACATGGAAAGCAGTTTAGGGTTTTTCCGACCACTTTATGTGGGTTCTTACAAGAAATGAAATGAAATAGCCAAGTTTTCGATGCCTAGCCGCCATGCCACCCAAAGGAACCACGAGGGCTGGGATATTACCAGGCTGCCCAAGCCTATACAGGGGAAATCGAGAGGCAGAGGTCGGGTTCGAACCACGAACCTTCCGATCAGTAAATTCAAGTTCTCTATCTTCAGGCCTATCACATCTGTGATATCTTTAGTGAATTGTTAGGTAGACCTGTCCTTACTCCAGTTACTGATCAAACCAAATGAACTCGTTACTGACAGATGTTACAGGCCGTTGTGCCAGCTAAGCCTGTAACATTAGTCGTTGGGTAAGAAGGTCGATTAGTCATGACAGGGCCAGTAGCATGACGTATTTCCAATTCAGTGTTTACTCTTTGAGAATTAATCAGTCATTTGGAGAAATTGTAAATATGGTTATGAGAGTTTGTTTCTGCAGCCAGGAGGAGGCATCCGTATCAGAGAGAATGTTCGGTGGACAACCAGTTGCCCTCTTTTAGAGAGGCTCGGAATGTTTTGAAATCGCCAAAATTACCGCTGCAGCTTGGCACACAGAGCCATGACCTGTACTACGTTTGCGACTGTGAAACTAGACCTGTTATGTATAGTCCACATATGACTCAAATTAGAGGCTCCAAAGGCAATTGCAATCCTCTGCTTTCTTAATATTTCTCTACTCGGTCGAATGATTACCAAGAAACCATGTAAGTTGCAATGCATTTACCCCTCTCAAGTTTGACTCTTATTTTGTTATTTGCACTTAGATTAGATGACTAGATGTCGTCCCTGTTAAAGTTACGTCTGATTTTTACGCGTCTCTGATTGTTATACAGTCAGAATAATATCTGTCAGCCTCCAGGCCTCGAACACGTTAGAACAGGGACTGCTGCCTCGATTGGCAATCATCTCATTCAGTAGGTAAATGAGACACCGGGTAGATAAAGTGTTCCAACTAAATGAGGGTGTCAGACATTGTTCTGTAAACAATACGGTAAGAACGAATGTAGCTTTTTTGGTACTCGGGGCACAAAATCAACTGACAGAGTCAATAGGAATCAGTAAAGCTGAAAGTCAATAATGAATGGCCAAAACCTGCTTCAGAATTGTCAAGATTTTTGACGGTCACGTGGAAATAAGATGCGATGGCCCAAACATGTGCGTGCCAGCTTCCGTACAAAGCATTTATGGGTACGGAGATTTGGCCTGTAAATACCATGCCATTGGCTGAAGAAGTATCCGTAATCTGATATTTAGGTGCTTTAGGCAACTGTGACGGAACTTCACGATCAGGTTTGGAGGCCTCGGTCAGATTTCCCACTTTAAGCGCGTGAGATGAAAATCATCTGTTAATGACATGCTGTTGCCAATTGAGATAGCTCGCCGCACTGTGTTTAGGCTTCGGTTTTCATAGTTGCCTCGCTTCACGGCTAATGTTTTCACAGCAGCAAAGGTACTGATAAACACCAGAAAAGAAAAACAATAAAGCTTGTCGTGCGAGCGTCATTTGATGATGTGGAGAGTAGTGACGCTACCTATTAACTCGACTGCACTTGAAGCCTTTGAAAAGCTTCGTCATGTACGCGGACCAGAACTTCACATGTTAGATCGCTGATAGAAGGCATGCATAATTATAAGGGATTTTAAGGTACATTTTAGCTGCTATTCTGTTCGTTGATCTTTACAGCTTGATTGAAAACGTTTCGCCACAAGCTGAGGTACCATTAGTAGTGTGTAGTAGATTAGCACAGACTTATTGTTAAGCTGTGCGTCAGTATGAATACTTCGAGCGTTTAAATAAGCCTTGTTGGCAAGAGTTGACCTTGGGTTGTGATTACTCATTCGGACAGTTGATCCTGTCGATTCACTGGTTGGGTAATTCTCTGCCCAATCGGTCCCCTGGTGACCTTCATTTGATGATCTATTCGCAATGTCTTGTTGATTGGTTTGAGTTCTATAGGTCCAGTTGGTTGGTTTGTAGTGAAGCGTCAGGCTTTAAAGAATCACTTATTTGTTTCGTATTTCTACCTTTATTGATCATGGTGCTTTCTAGAAGAAATTTGTTCCACTCAAGATCTTTGTGTATGAAAACTAATGATACTTGTTCACAATTGACTTCATGACTAAAAAAATGTACGAGCACTGTACACCGTTGCTTAACTGCCATAAAGCAAGAAACGGAAAAAAACTTAGTAAAGGGTGTAAATAAGAAAGGGCGAGAACTTATTGCGAACAAGTCCCATGTCCCCAAAAACCATGTGGAGTACAAGATACAGGCACATTTAGATTTCATTCAGCAAAAATCATTTGAACCTTATGTCGAAGAAAGGCATCATCAACTACACTGATCCAGCGCCCTTTGAGAACCTTGTCCGACGTAAACCCAGCATACAATAGTCGAAATTAAGCTAGGCAGTCCAGCTGAGAAATGACATCATGCGCGTCACCGGGCTTGGTTGCACGCCATACAACACAAACAGGACCACGCAAACCATGCAAATTCGCGCGAGGATCCCACAGTATTTACATAGGCTGTGATCAGTTTCAATTCATGTTTTAATGTCATGGTTCGCCCTCGTGTTTTCTGATAGGTAACTTATGTTTTTTCGTCACTGCAGATAGTTTTCGTTCAGTCTATTCAATACAGTGCCAACGTCAGCTCATGCAATCTGTCCACTACACGAAATTGTTTGTTCCGCTTCCATTGGTATCATATTTTGGTCTTTAAATTTGTTTACTGGATATTACTTTCGGTTTGTTGACTGCTAGGATGTCTTTTAGTTGCAACATCCTAGCTGTGAGTTATAACCCGTTTGCTTCCTTGCTGATTCTGCTCATGTTGTCGAGGGACATTTTTCTTCCAGCATCTTCAAAGGAAAGTACCACACTGTCTCCACGCCGCTGAGTAGAGTTTGGATATGATTCTTACTGTGCTTCATTTGGTAGTTGCTGTGGTGTCTTGATATCCAAACTGCCTGGGTCTTCTTCCGGTGAATGCATGTTTGATGGTTCCCGTTCGAAGCTCTGTTGACAAGCGCGTCAAGAAGTGAAAGTTTTTTTTAGTAAAATCCACTCATCTGCGCAGTATTTACTCAGGGTAGATTCCTAAAACATTGTGAAACATATATCATCATCATCAACGACAGCATGACATCAGTGTACAACACCAATGTTTCACTGCCGTACAACCATGACTTATTTGAAAGCCTTATTGTAAAGAAAAGAATAAAGGTGGATGGGGGAGGGACTTAGTGCTAGCTTAACACAATCATTCCGAGGTGCATACACCTCCAGACATTCACTCAGGNNNAGAAACTGACAACAAGAACGCCATTGACATCGGTTGGCAGCCATATCTTGTAGTGTCTCCAACCAGGCACAGTGAGGATCACGCGGTCCCCATCCTGGAAGGCGAGTAGCACCGACAGCACCCAAGCGTTTCGTGATCTCCTTCATACTCCTCTGCCAGGTCATGAAACATATAAGGTCTACAGGAATTTAGGTTGGGGGTAGCTCCAGTACTTCACGCAGCTTTTTGACAGCGATGTGTTAGGGTGAGTAGTGAGTGTCCAGAAGTAGAGGCACATCAGCTTTGTGCATTCCAGGGGATCGCAGAGACGCGGAATATATCCTAGTGAATCAGAGTTGTTCTTCCTATTACTGATTTATTGTCCTACGGCTCCGGCATTCAATGGAATTTTGCGTTTTCATACAGAATTGATTTCAGTTTGATGTAATGATAGTTTTTATGGATGTACTGAACAGAGGCAGCTCCAAAACGTGTGCTTAACTAATGGGTTTAAGAGAGCGCAGTGACTAACCTTCCAGATATCAAGAAGAGCAATAAGATAATTTCTCAAAGATTCAAGGAACATTCCAATTTACAGTTGAAAAGAATATTGGTAGGTCAGATAGTAATGGTGGTCTTAGGTTTGTTCACCGAGCTAGGCTGTTAGGTTGCAGACGTTTAATCCTCAGCCTAAATGAAATCATCAGTGTGTTTTGAGTAGAAGTTCACTGAAGTTGGAAGTCAGTGGTTGTTGATCCTGTATGGATTGATATAGGGTCTAATCACGACTTTGACCGATCATTGGTTGTTTGGATGAGTATTCCTATTGGCTTGTTAGCTGACTTGAAGAGGAAGATCGATCAGGAAAAAAATAATCAAGAAAAAGTGAAGAGAGCATCACATGGGAGTAAAAGACGGGTGACAGTTCCTAAGAGCACAGCGCTCCGCGCAGGATTCAAACAACTGTCACATTCCAATCGACGAAATAGCATGGCAACTAGTGACGGACAGCCAGCTCAGTGGAATCAGTGAGTTAGCTTAGGTCATCATACAAACGGACCAGGAAACGGAACTGACTATGGAGAAAAAACGAACAAATTTCGTGATGTTCGTAATGCACTACTCATATGGTTGCTGAAAATTCGTCGACAGCCCACGACCGGCTTCGCCCTTCTTGGGGCTCATCGGATAGGCGCAGCTCCCGAGTTTCCGTCAAACTTATGTTCTACCTGGAATAAAATTGCGCAAAATTAGCGAAATACACTCATTTGCAAACAAATTTGGTTGCGCATAATTTGCTTGGTTACATCACAAACGAGCGATTCAGCTGGGTTCCAGGTAGGTCTCTCGCAAAACCAAATTTGTTTGCGAATGAGTGTATTTCGCTAAAGTTCACGATGTTTACCAGGACGGTCAAGTTTCAAGGCTGCATGGACAACAACCAATCAGAAGACAGTTCAACCAACAGGCCAGTAGGACCACCCAAACTAACGCTAATCGCTTAAAATCGACCTTACATCAATCATCGTGAGTGCAGTAAGTGTGCTTTTGCAACCTCAGCGCACTTCCACTCACAACTGATGATGTCATCTCGAATGGTAATGAAACGTTTGCAACCAAATTGCCTAGCTCAGCGAACAAAACTACTACCAGAACATCTATACATGCACACATATAACAGATTTACAACTGTATTTCATGGGTTGTTTTTACTTGCATAGCATGGGTTGTTTACGACAAATGAAGGTTCCTTCCTTAATTCTCAGGTGAGATATCTGCCGCATACTCTGCTGCTAAGCAATTATATGAGACACTGAAGAACGAAAAAGAGGTTTACAAAGTTCCGCCAGCGAATCCGGACCAAGAATCCGATAGCAAGTGGATCGTACGGGCACCGAGGATGTCCGCAATTGTGTGTGAACACTTGTGCAGATGCCTGCTGCATGAAGCCGAACAAATGAGTGCGGAAAATCCACCCGATAAATTTCCAATTCTATATGAAGCACTCAAATTTGGGACAGAATGTAAGTAGGCAAAACTTTCGTTTTGCGATTTTCGATTTGTTGGATCAATTTTTCCGCTTTTTTGGCTGGCGGACAGACTAAAATAACGTACAATAGTGGTGGTAAATGGCGATTCCTCCAAGTTCACGCGTCCCTGAGTGAACAACAGCATGGTGTAGCAGATTTCCGGTGTCTATTTGGGTCAGTAACGATGCGGAACCAGCTATAAATCAAAGTCGATGGGTTATGGTGAAATAACAACACACAGTAGAGATGAGGAAATAGTATGAGTAGAGTGGTCAGTGGGAAACGAAGAATGTTAGAGTCAGAGGAGGCATCGGTAGCAGCAGTAGAAGTAACGCAGTAGTGTGAGTTGTATCTGAAATTCACACAACAGAGTAGACTTTTTAGACGTCAGAATCAGACAATACACTAATCGATGGTCGTCAAGCCGCAGCGGTGCGACGGTCTGGCGTCCCAATAGCCTGGCTGCCTGAACGCGGTTTCATCCTCGGTTGCAACCGAATTTATCACTGTTAAGCAACGAACCATAAAGTCTACAAACAGAATTCTCAACGTAACAGAGTTACAGTTTTGAATACCCTGGGTAGGCAGACTCACAGCATTGGATAGCATACACACTGTACAATATTCGCGACTAATTCGTTGACAGGCTATAGGTCTGGATTCGATAACCAGTTTGAAAACTAGGGGAAATAAAGTAGATAATCTTGGTTAGGCAGGAGCTGCCGATCGGAGTGAGTTTCAGAATGTGAGTTTGCAAGCTTAACGCTTTCGTTTGGCGTTATAAGAGCCAAATATTAGGGATGAGGCGTGAGTTCATGAGTTATCCTGTGAGGAGTGTGGATTTTTTATATGGAAGTGTGAGATCCGAGCAGCTAAGGATCCCACAAAACGATTGGGGCGATTGGACTATACGCTCGAAAATGACAGAGCTGACACGGACTTGCAAGAAAAGACGAACAGGGAACAAACCATTGACAGTTTACTAGAGGATAAGTGGACCTTAAGTAGGAGCATATACGGTCGCGCGACAAAACTGAGTTATCATCAGTAGTCAAAGGAAATCCCTTGTTAATTGACCAATGAAACTATTTTGAACAAATTCCGAGGGTGACCCACATTGCGAAGAACTAAAGTGTGCTGAGTAATTCCAGAATCGCGTGATATAAATTGCTGGGGAATTTTTGCACTCTGGAACAAACACACTGAAACCCTCCTTTATAATTTTCTTCTTCGCATTCTAGCTGGCAACCAGGGTCTTGTCGGTAGCTGCAATTTGGCAATCAGCAGCATATATGAACAACTTGGAGATTGTAACCTGGCTCACAAGGTACGTTGTATCGCTGTCGAACATTGCTTTTAGTTTGCCTACGAATACTACATTTTGGCAGAAAAACTGGATGATCGGCACCGCGTAGCTGCTTGTTCAGCCGTAGTCCGAATCTATGAAAAGTGAGTGACATTATTCCCGAAATACACACTTTTACACATCTTTTGGACTTTGGTAGGTGGTCCAACTAAACCACAGCTGATTCGCGTAATTTGGGTTCAAGTAGAACATAAAATACTAGGAAACTCAAAGACAGTGTCTACCTAACGAGCTACATTGGGGCGAAACCGATTTTGGGCTGTCCGAGAGTTTTCAGCAGCCTAATGAGTGGTGTTCTTTCATGAGTGACGTTTTGTTCTTTATCTGACAAATTTGGTGAAACTTCGGAATCATTGCATAGTAAGTGGATGTCTCATACCTAATGCCATCTCTTTGGCGTTTTGGACTCAACATCAATTTACTCGACAAATGTATTCTTCTCGAGCCTGCGCTCAAGGCATTATCAAATATGTTTGACAAAGCGCTGTTTAGAGACGGGACACTCTATGAAACACTGGTCTTTCCTTTTTATTTGTCCTCCAACTATCAGGTAGGCAACCTCAAGCCAACTCAGTGATTAAAGAGTGAAGTTACTGGGTGGAAGGTCCCTAGTTCGAAACCAACCCGGGCATCTTGAATGCTTCTCTCTAGGCCAACCCCATCGTGATCATGATCGTCAGCTATAAAAAACCACGTACTTACCGTACAGTGTTTATAAATGCCAATATTTTGTTCGCCAATGGTTTGGTGAGATACGGGTAGATAGCGGTAGTTTGTATAATTGACGCATGGATGTCAGTGGACTTTCCTTGAGGAGTTTGGGAGGGGAAGCTATTCATTGAAGGTAACCGCTTGAATACATTTACTCCACTAAGCCATTTCTGACAATGTCTGCAACCAGTGTCTGAGTTTGCTGGTAACGGCGCCCATACTTCGCTGGCAAGTCAATGCCTGACCTCTCCTGGCTAGCTCCCACCCTTTGCCTGGTCGCGCAAGGACTCCTCGAAGAAAGGCCCTAGTACTTCCTTCGGGTGACATGGTGGCTAGAAACCGAAATCGTGCGATTACTCATTACCTACGTAACCTCATGGACAAAGATTCGCCAGCAAAAATCCGTGTTCTGTTCCGTAGAATACTTGATTTCCATGCCGGAAACGGGTGAACTCGCGTTTTTTCGGGCTTGATAATTTTGATCAAATCATCAAGGGTTGTTGCTCCATTTACAGCGGTCCGTAATCAGGTAAACAATGGATTGAGTAAAGAAACAATAGAATAGGTTGCCCAATAAAAGGACAGTAGCCCTGTGTTTTAACGGGCATAATTCATGTTGGTGACTTAAAATGGGACAAATCAAATCAACTGCATGTGAACTACATTCGATAATTGTGAGTATGAAAAGTCCCAAAGAATTAATGGACCGTAAAAGATTGAGTCTGAGTAGCAAGCACCGAACGGTTGTCATGCTCTTATTTACGCAAAAGCAGAGTCATCGCCTTATGCGTGGAGGGTCACAAACTTATCAACACTATTACGAGAAATATCTAAACCGGTTTACGGACAATGAGAGCGCCGCTGCATACATTTACATAGGTGGCGAAGTCAAGGACGACTGGGTAGGCTGTCAACACCCCACTGCACTGGAGAAGCACAATTTGTAGACCGAACTTGGAACACACATTTTACCAGATACTAGAACTGGGTGAGAATCAGCCCTGAACATAGATAGTTTACTCCATTTCATTAATGCTATGTCCTCATTACCCGTGACATCCCATAAGACGCGGGTGGGTTGAACTACAAAGTTGAAGAAACGCGAGATTTTACGTGTCTGATTCAAAGTGCATTTTGATGATTTACAGACTCGGCAATGTTCCGAAGGCTCAGCGGTTGCTGATAAAACTAGAAAGATTCGCCAACGCCTGCAACGACCCACTGGTCACAGTTGAGGTGGAAAAGCTGGTATCCCAGTTCCATATCAGGCAGACACAAGATTACACAAAAGCCTATGAAGCCGCAGAAAACGGATTTCGACTGGCTCTGGAAGCCGGAATCCCGGACATGACAAAAACAATGCGACTCTGGTGTGGTATTGCAAAAGGACAGAGTCTTTATGTGGTTTTCGGCCGCACCGTGTTATGTGCTCCGAACGATTCGGATTCCATGATGTCGTTGTTGAACTGGCGATCAAACAGGGTCCCAATGCAACCGATCGATCAATCCAGATTTCGCGACATCACAAGTAGGTTCACTTCACTATATCATTCGTTGATGACTTTTTTCATCATAGATTTCTCAATGCAACGACGTCGCGAACAGGTTCGGGAGAACCAGAAGTTAGCTAGTTCCTCAACTCAAGAAACAGAGTCCATTCTGTCAGGAAGGACAAGACGACCAATTCTGACGCAAAAAAGGTGTCAGTGAGGTTCACCCACCAAATTAGGTTTTTGTTTTGTTGAACCGCTTTCCACATATTGCTGTTTATGAGCGCCTGTGCTGGCAGTTTTTCGTCGCACTTACTTCAATGAGTTCACAAACGTCCTCGATTTTGTGTATCGTATCGACTTTTCGTACATCTCCATGGAATAAAACAGGAATCATGGTTCAACATTTGAGGACATCCGACACACTGTTTCGTGAGTGCATTGTAAAGGCAATCAATCAGCCTAATGCGTTTAGGATTCCGTGGACCATGTATTGAAAATATTAAAAGCACCAAAACCGACTTTTGGTTCAAACGTACACAATAGAGAAATAAGGTGTAATTTTTCTATACAGTAAAAATTTCCAACATCTCAATGTTACTCGGAAGTTATGTACTTCACAAACAACCGGTTACCAGCCATAGGAGTCAAAGGTCACGATTACCTGTATTGAATAACAGGTATTCCAGTCATTTCGATTGCAATAGAGAAACCGCTCTGGATGTAACCGTTGATACACTCAAAAAACATGAGTCAGGTAACCAAGAGACGACTTCCAAAAATAACTGGTTGCATTAGGTTGGTCTCATTGGACTGTTGACGGACAACTGCTATGGAGATCACAAGCTCGTGTGCGAACGTTTACCTGTGTTGTTTGTTTCACACTATACGGGTAATCACACCCTTTTCCGGTCAAATATGAGCAGCTTCGGGGTGGTGAAGGCATACATCAGAATATAGAGATTACTTAGTCTTGACGCAATAACTACGGTAGTAGTACTAATCATCAAGCAGATATTGGCGGTCAAATCCAACTGTTTGGCTCGCCTTTCACGATGGAGACCGCTTGATCCCCACTGCGCCTGACTGGATACACTAAAAGATACGGCTGACAACCGATGTCAGTGGCGCTTTTGCTGTCATTTCCTATCCAAACTGCCTGAATGAGTGTCTGAAGGCGTGGGCACCTCAGTAGCACTAAGTCCCTTCCCCGTCCAACTTTATCCTTCTCTTCACAACAGGGCTTTTAAATAAGTCATGATTGTACGGTAGTGAAGCATCAGTGTTGAATATTGATGTTATTCTGTCGATGATGATGAGGGGTCTCAGTTCCGTACTACTGGGCAAAACAGGTTGCCCTAATGCCGGGCTTGACACAGGCAAGCCTAAGTGACTGCTCCAACGAGATAGTTGTATTATTTTAGACAAATTTCCTCGAAAGGGGCCAGTTTCATCGGTTCTTCAAGGAACGCTTCACCAGCAAGGTTACCTTTGGAAAAGGCTAATTTTGATCAATTCAAACACACTTCGAATGACTCTTTTGCCTGATAAGAGAATGCAAATTCGCAAACAGAATGCACAGCAGTCTCTCCCCAGGCAACCAATAATCCCGAAGATGCAGATGGTTTCTAGAATGTGGAGGTTTCTACCACACGTTACCCTGAACATGCAGGAAATATAATGTTACAAGAAACACCCACTTGGAAGCAGTGGGTTCCAAAAGTGAAACGGTTTTCGACTATCTTGCAAGATGCGTTCACACTATCACTTAGCCAACCAGCAGCGCTAACATATCCTCTCTAATGGCGTCGCAGAGGAGTAATACTCCAAAAGAGTAGTCCAAAAGACAATCTCTCCAAGTGCGATTGATCCCCTTCTACAAGCAAGATCATATTCACCTCCATGGATAGGCGCTCGTGTAAGTTTGTCGCCCTCAAAATAGCCGAAGCCAAAATCCGTCAACGAACCTTTAGCATCTTCGCTACTGCACTGAAATGCATTTTCTACCTCCACGGGACACCAAGAATAAAAGTCAAACTGGAAAACTTGCAGAAATGCGAGCGAATTTCCCCAGAAGGGCTTGGTGAACAATCGGTATATTTTTATTTGGGCAACGTTTCGCTTTTGACAAAAGGCCAGTGTATGTGTCCCCAGAAGGGCTTGGTGAACAATCGGTATATTTTTATTTGGGCAACGTTTCGCTTTTGACAAAAGGCCAAGTGTATGTGTTGTGTTAAAAGTGGAACGTTGCCCAAATAAAAATCCACCGATTGTTTACCAAGCCATTCTGGAACTATGTCTACTCAATCGGCTCCAAACTTTTTCCAATTTAGTGAGCGGATTTCGTTGCCAGAAGTGTCTGAATGTCTTAAATTAAAACCAATACAGACGGCGCTCTCACTATCAAGTATTCGCTGTCTAACAGTTCCCTATTGTTATCTCAGCTACCGCCTCCAATGTGCAGCTAGCTACCCCACCTCCCCGAATCATCGGTGAACGAAACTGTGGCATCTAGAACCGCCCTACGGCAATTGCGCGGTTTTTACAACTGGTGATGGGTCTCACTGTTTATGCTCACCACTGACAGAGTACCGGGCTGAATAACAACGCTTCCAGAAGCCCAAGGCCAAGTCTTAACCATAAAAAAGAGCAGATAATTTTCCAAGACAGTCCAGGAAAGAATTCATAATATTGCAGGCAACGGGAGCACCGCAAATATCCGCACTGAAGGCTGACTGAATACTCTTCAACGGTGATCGGTTTTAGCCTTCTTGGACCTCACCAGACACGCAGTCTCCGAGTTTTCGTGAACTTTATGTTCTATTTGAGAACCAAATGTGAGCCGTAGCTGAAATACATTCACTTACATATTCGGTTGATGTTAAACGGGGGACTTAGCTTGATCCCAGATGTATCTCACGTTTACAATATCAATCAACTACATGTACTGCACAAAGGCCGCTTCCAGTTCCAGCACACACAGCTTAATTTGGAAATAAGTGCATTTCGTCACTTGTGTACACTTTGGTGTTCAAGCAGAACATAAAATTGGCGGAAATTCGGGGACTGCTTATGTGATGACCCTTAAGAAGGGCATAATCGGTCGCGGGGTACTGAAGAGTTCTCGGTAACCTTGTGAGTAGTGTGTTCTGTCACGTAAATAGACTGTGATATCTCGGGTACCTTATCAGCTGAAACATGAGGCGGTCTTTGTGCAGCATATTTGATGCCATCAATGAGATTCCGCTGGAATTCAGCTGTCCCCCGGTAGCATCAACTTCATTGCAAATAATGGATTTCTCCAACTGCTTTCAACATTAATACCACGAATAGAGAGATGAACCGCTTTCCCATTTATCGGTGAATCAGACCGGCGAAATTTTCCCATATAGTGAGGCGTCGCCGTGCTTTAAACGCTCTGGAAGCATTCCACCGCACAATGAACCAAAGAGGAGGATATGCGCCGAAACGTGAGCAGACAGGAAGTTCAACCACTAGCCCCAGAAATTCCATTGAACATTATCGTCTAACAAAGCAGAACTCTTCAGACGCAATCAATATCCACTAACTAGCGTCGAAACGTAATTGCAATAGCTTGCACCGAATACTGCCTATCAAAGCAAAGTTGAAATTTTCAAAGTCTTATCACGTAGGATCAAGTTTTAAATCATGCATTCATGAAAATACAGGAAAACATATTAACGTCAAAGGTGAGTCTATGAAATACCAAATGCTGAAGTAAGACGAACGCTAACTGGCGACTTGTGTTTTTTCTTGAAGTCAGATGTTGGTGGTGAAAAAACTCGAATTGCTTCAATCAATAAACCAAAGGTACACTAGGTAGTACTTTGCACGATCAACTGGCCTGGCACTCACTCTTCTGCACTGCGCTCGGAAACCAAACACCATCTAACTGAAATAAATGGTACTTTTGGGGAACAGTGAGATCATGTGGCGATTGCCGTCATCCTTCTGAAAGCGAAATGTCCAATTAAAAGGTCTTATTAAAATTATTGCGCTCGATTACATGCATCCACAACTGGACCGTCCAAGTTGGTACATACCAGTCTTATCGCGGAACGCGCTGTTGCTATGGTTTGCGAAGTACTACCAAGGATAACCGTTTGGTGAAAAAGTCTGCAAACAACTAACGGATCAAGTAAACATCCTATGTTCACTTGAACTAGTGAAAAGCTACTGTTCCACACACCACATTTGTTGGGCTTGGTTTAGTGTATCAATCGTCGAAACAATGAAATTCGGTCAGCAAGGATTTCCCCGAATCGATAAACCCAACTGTAAGCCAATGCGGCAGAACATTACTAAAACGGAAAATGCCGAAATCTGTCAACAGGTATCAACGTTCACAGGCTAGCTTGTTCCGAGATTACTGAGTCGCTTAATGGTGTTATGTTTTCACAGCACTGCGAAGGGAATTCATTAAAATGCACCTAAAAACTTGAGATTTCTATAAGGAAGACGGTCGAGCACTATGGGCAAGTGTATCGGTTACATCACGGCCAGCTATATCCACTTACAGACGAGAATCTACATCCTGGTTTATAAGACAAGAGAGTAACATGAAAAAAGTGAGATCATAAATCTATTTCAAAGTCAGAATCAGTTAATCGGACGTCAGAAGAGAGTGTGCATTCGTAGGCTGGTTTTTTCGTATCGGGAGAGGAACCGGATAAAATATCGCGTGGCTTTTGAGGACTCTGTAAAATATCACTCAAAGGGAAATGCTCTTCGGTCAAATGGCGTTTCGACGAAGCAACGTTCGCTGAGAACCTTGAAAGCTTTTGACATATTCGCTGCTGACGTTCACTCTTGGTTTCTGATTTCCGTGGGCTTGGGAATGGGAGTTCTGGAGACGAATGTGCAGTCGACGCTGTATTTACAACAGGTGATCGGCTGGAGACCACACGGCTGACTACCGGCCTACTGTCCAAAGCGACAGATTCTTGTTGTTCGAACGCACCGAATTCGAGATCCTCGAAACCAGGGACGGATAAATGGAGGGGTGCCAACTGAGTGGACGAAAACAACGGAGCCGCGGTTAATGAAAATACGGAATTCTCCTTCATATCCTTATCCGACAACGAGAAGGCCTCCAAGCTGTCTTTCACTTGTTCATCTACTTCTTCACACTCCACCTCATCTTCGCTAACATCCGGCAAATCTCCATCAGTACTGATTTCCGATAGTGCCGCACGGACTGCCTGTTCCCAGTCCCCAAATTCTTTCCGGCAATCGGTGGGAATATCAGCAGCCACGATGGCCTCCGGGGTACTCATCCAATAGGATGCATCTGTAAGTGCACGACTGTCATCGCCGGTTGTGGTGGACTGAAGTGAGGCATCCATGAGACCTATGACAATGACTGCGTCCTGTGGACAAAAATGGAAAGACGGTAGAACCGAGGAATCACACCGCGAAAACTTAGCGCAGCTAAACTGGCAATGTAAGAGTCCCGCACAACCAAACTGCATTGCATTCGAAATCATAACCAGGCTGCGTACTCGAAATGAACGGCAACCTTCAACCCAGAGGTTATTGAAAATAATAACTTGTACTCGATTTCAACTGCTAGAGCTTCCTCCGAACTTAATGCGGCGACCAGGTAGATGGGTCTTTAGGATCTATTACACTTCTAAGGTTCTGTCTCCATAACAAACAAGTGCGCCAAAGAGGGCGATCCTACATGTCGGACAGAAACGGCGTAACGAGACAGCTAGTATGGGAATGCTTCAAGTGGAATTTCCCAACTGGCAGAGGAGTTTCAGAAGAACTAAAAATGTTGTTAGCAGCACAAGCGCCGGATCAAGATAAGAGAACGATAAACGGTTACATGATTAGAACCCTATGTGTGGACTTGTGAGATTTTCTCGTCACGACTATGTCAGGGCGCGCCCAGACAGAAGAAAAAGTACATGCGCAGAGAGTGACGCATCCCCAAGGTCACTATCGGTACGACACGTCCGGAAAGTAGGTGAGTTGGCGGCTCTCACCAAACGGCTTAGCAACACACGACCAGCATAGTGGGCCTGAGAATGTTCACGACCGGAACACCACTATTGGCTGTACGGAGCGAACAGGTGAACGACCATATTTGACCAATTAGTCATCCTATATATTTACGCAGACGCTCTGTATATTTAGTCCTGGCAATACAGCCGTGTCCCCAGCTCTCTGTCTTCTCTCCTATCGCGTAGTCTGGCAAGGCTCAGTGCAGGCGTAACCTCATAGCTCGACCACCGCGCAAAATACAACAGACTAGCTTCAACGGGCTAACTGGTTCACCCGTATACAGCAGAATGGCCGAGATGGAGCGTAAATTCCCCAGAACTGGTCGGCAGAGCGAAGAACGCCTAACTATACGGAGCTTATTTTATCACAGACCCTTCTTCCTTATCCTTAAGGCCATTTCTGCAAGATGGTGCCTTCGGCCACAAGTTGATCCGTCCCACCCCTAAAACTGAGATTTCAAAATGCCATGCAATAAGCCCAAACTGCTTTAGATCAACCTCGCCATAATTGAATGCAACTTGGCAAAATTTCCACCTGACTGCAAGTTTACTGAGCTGTTCACCAGTAACCGTCGATATATTAAGGAAAATAGCAACCGCTCATTAAAAAACAGAGATGCTCAGAGTGAATTACTTTAAATTCGATTGCTTAATGCCTGGTACTAAAGAGGTTTGCCCTGAAATGCAAAGCGAAAAGGTGGGTTGGAAAATTTGACGGCACGAAAAAATGGTCCAGCTCCGAAAGATTCACGAAATGCGTACGGTAATCGGAATTTTCCGCGACATATCTTGATGCATAAGCCTGGTTAGGAGAACAGACAGACGAATAAGATCGATTGTGAGCTGTCTAGAGTCTACGCTAAATCTTCCCGGCAGTAATTCTGTTTTGACTCCCATGGATTCTAACTTCTCGTGATGCCTTAACACGATGATGGGGATCTTGATACAAGAGGTCAGTCCGATACCAGTGAAATTGCCGTAATTAGTAGGAACATGCATTTCTAGTGAATAAGTACTATTCTGATTTGTCCCAGTTTGCTAGGAGTTCCATTCTCCCAAATTGATGCAAGTAAGTGGAAAAGTACTAAGGATTACACGTCCATCGTTGAACACAACCAGGAAGAGTTTGTGTGGAAAGATAGTCTGGTCTAGGTCATACTGACGATGTTAGGAACTGCCGTTACCATACCCATACCTATTCTTTCCCGCGTCAGCTTTGAAAAAAGCCAAAAGAATACTCAGCCACTCAACCCACTCTGATACACCACCAATTTTTGAATGGACCAGCTCGAGCTACTTTAGCGGCTGGATCTGACTTACTAACCAAAAGGTTCGTGATTTGATCCGAAAACGTAGCATCTCGATCGCTCCGGCCTAGGCTTGGGCAACTTAATGTTAGTATCTCCCCGTACTCCCATCGGGTGGCATGCCAGCTAGGAACCGAAAAGGTGTCAGATGAATGATTATTATTATTGTTATTATGACTATTATTTGAGTGAACAGTCACAAAGGACAAGTAGCCAGCACAATCATCAGTCGTGAATTCTAGGACTTCTTTCTGTGAAGTTGCCAAAGGATGGAGTATACAAGAAGTTTTGAAGATACATGGCGGCATCACCAAAAACCGTCGGCTCTTCTGCTTCATGATATTAACTTCCTGTCTTCAGTGAGTAAAACCGCAAGCTATTCGGTCCCCGATAACAGTCTCATACTGCTGCGGTTCCCCCCGCCCCACGCCATAATTTTCCAAGTCATCGCCCATTACAAGACGTTAGTTAAGAACTATTAACATGGAAACCCGGACAAAAAGCCTAAATTTAAGTTAGCATAGATGCAAAAAGCCACTGAAAAATTAGAAGGCACTCAAGCTATGTTGGATGGGAGAAGTGAAGAGCTGCCAACGTGAAGGCGCGCCACGATAAGAGCGGATGATATAGTTCATTTACCTCAGAACCCGCCTCCGACCGAGCCATCAGACGAGCATGTGCCCTTGTTAACCGCACAAGACTCTCCAGCAGACGGAGAGTGGTTCGCCCTTGCGTACCATTCTGGCAGTTAACACCGTAGAAACCCATACTTTTACGTCTCCATACATAATAACGCTGCAACAGATTGGCGGCAGAGGGAGATAGTCGGGGTTTGAACTCCTGTCGAACCCACGTGAAGTATTCCCTGAGTCGTTCGGTTGGCCACAGAGCATGTTTAGAGCTGACGTGAGAATCCTAAAGTACATATAAAACAGGGTGTGATGGATGCATAACAAGAGGAGATTAAAAACCACATGAAAATGTGCCATGAAAGGTTGTACTGGCGAACGGTTCATGAGAACGAGTTTCTAGGAAGGAGAGCATTCGCCATTTCACAAGCACAATAAAAGGCCTAAATTCAAATGACCCTCTAAGTTATCCCGGGCACCAGCTAGCAAGTTGATAGTGGTGCAGTAAAAACACATTTTTAGACCGATTGCAAATTAAAGGGATATAGCAGTCAGTCGTACACAGAAAGCTGCCGCTAGTACTGAAATGTCCGTAAACCCTCAAACGACTGAGTAGCGCGTACATGTGTTGCTTTTGGAGAAGAACGCCACCTCCAAGCATACCTGAACGAGTTGCTCAGTTTATTACTACACGCCCATCAAATACGGAGTCCGGATTGCTAAAAATTCGCAATTCTAACAGGGGCGTCTGAAAGTGAAACAGGACACTTTGCATTGGACACGCAAACGCGGTTCCCTTAAATGAAACGAATATAGAACTGTCATGTGGCCCGGCCAATGAAAAGGGCCGGAACACGCTGTCAGGTCACCTAAGCCAACAGAGGATTCCAGCTGAAATCCTCTATTACATCTTGAGGTTGATTTACGTGACCTTCTGTGCCTAGTGCGACAAGAAAGCAACCATTCCTAAACAGGAAGAACGACTTCCAAAACATAAGTGACGACGACAACTCACAGCTTTAGAATCTAACTTTAAGATGAAATCGGCAATTTTTCGATCCCAGGCGACTGAGTCCATTGGATCAACAAGACGCCAAATCAAATCAAACCTGCTCAGAAGTGAGGTGGGCAAACCGAAGTCATCGGAACGTGAACTATCCTCCAGTGGTGGGTTGGCTGCCGCCAATACGGAGCAACGACAATTCAAACGGGTGATCAAACCAGCCTTTGCCAAACTAATGGTTTGTTGCTCCATGGCTTCGTGAACTGCGGATCGGTGCGTTCCCTGCAAAGCCGTGAATTCATCGATCGCACAAAGACCACCATCAGCGAGGACCAGGGCACCGGCATCTAGACTCCACCCATGAGCATCTCGAACAGCAGCAGCGGTCAGGCCAGCAGCTGTTGTTACAGTCGCAGCGGTCAGTACCGCACGGTTACTAAGACTTGTCGCGGAACGAAGAAGTATAGATTTTGCAGTGCCAGGATCTCCAACAAGCAGAATATGGGGGCTTCCACGAATGCGCGGCTTCAGTTCCGCGGCACTCGGCTTCTCATCACCTATGATGAGAGAACAACCATACATCGAAACACATGCTAGTTTAAAAGACATTCTGGGCTAAAACGACCATAAGCCTAACAGGGTAAATCACCATACCACGCATATGAAAGTCGGATCGTTGGTGCAGGAACGAGAAAAAGATGCCCACTTATTTGCATAAACTCCGAAAAGTACTTTAGGTAACACCACATAGCGCATACCAAAACCGACTTTAAAAGTCACTAGTTCGCAAAATAGTGTAAAAGTAGCCGTTTACAGAAAACTGGGCTTGCATGACAAGATCATCAGCTCTGATTTCTCGACTTTATTAAGTTTAGTCCCTCTTCGTGGCTGGAGCAGATTGCGGATTAACTGACCTTTTGTTTCGATATGTTGGCCAGCCATCATCATCAGCATTATAAAATACAGCAAAGTTAGCGCTGAGAGTGAAGCTTCACTACCGTAAAGTCACAAAGTCTACTTGATTACATTAAGAACCAAAGAGAAAAGAGACTGAATTGAGAAGGGACACGGTTTTAGCCTGTCGAAAGCATTCTGAGATGCTCGTACTTTCAAACAATCAGGCAGACAATCGGGAAAGGAAATGATAGCACAAACACTATTGACACTGGTTAGACCCCGCTCCTTCCAATGTTCCCAAACAAGTGAAACAAGAGTCACTGAGTTCCCACGTTTTCACCTCCCGCCACATCGCACGTTGACCACCTCGATTTTTTCGCCATTTTGGAGGTACGGAAAACAATTCTTTTATCGACAGACGATGATCACGCATGCGAAAATCACAGTTGGGCGAATGCAATTTATAGTTGTAGATGTTTTGTGTTTCACAACCGAACAATCGTTCCCTGATTGCAACGCTACGAATCATTCGATATAACGCCAAAAAACATCTGCCCAAGAAAGCCACACACATACACATGGAACTACACAACTCATCCCATACTGTAGCTTGGTAAACGCGAAACACAGTTAACATGATGTGCTTTTTCACGCCATAAGGGATGTAAATGGAAAAACGCGATATGAGCCTCTGATATTCTACACGGATTTCATTCCATCTTCGTCTGAGTTATTACAATTACCCAGGCATGACTATGCACGTTTGTATGCCCGTGTCATTGTATGTATATATAAATTCATCAACCTCATCCGAAGCCTATGTGATGGAATAAAATCGAAGATGTAAAAAATGCGCTGACTTCAAATGACTTCGGAAGTCCCAATGGCGTAAGAAAAGGGTGTATCCGCACTTCCTTTTTCTGTCTGTCTAAAACCCAAGGTGAGGCTGTTTTCGTGGACGATGCTGGCCTACAGTTCGAGTATCAGCTTGACAGACGTCTGTTTTGGTGCCAGGAATCTGGTCCATAAGACCAAGGTCCGCACTTCATCATTGCGGACGATTATTTGTTGTTCGGACATACGCATGACAAACTGCAGTGTAGCTGAGGAGTTTTCGCCCGCCGCAGCGCAGTGTGTTCTGAGCACCAACCCGGAGACTCTCGTTCCGTACCATTTTAGGCCAGGTGAGGTCTTCAGCAAACACATGAAGACTGGAACAGTTTGTGGGCTACTGGGCAAACTTCGGATTCCCCAGAAACACATCGTCAGCCGACTTGACCGTCTACTGTGGGTCGCGGTCTCAATCTTCCGAGGCTAGTGTGGCTTCTGTAAAACCCGAGAAACTGGCGTGGAGGAACCTGAACCTGGTAAAAGGTAATAAGCTGGATTATGGGGGTTCTAGATGACCTTTTGCAAGGCGCTGAAGCACTGACCAGGTATCAGCACAACCTCCAACAGTTGAGCAGCTTCTACATGCACCGACTGAAGCGGGTAGTTGGTGTTTAATGAATCGAACCAGTGTCGGAGACACATATAATCAGATGGATGCATTGTGATTGAAGCAACAATCACATTCGACCCTCTACGGTGACTGGAAAATGCTTGCAGACAAGAATCCGAAGCAGCTTCTATATGACCCACAGAAACGGAACCTTGCAGAATGAAGCCTGTATATTCAGGTCAAATGTCTAAGAGCCGCTCACATGGATCACATGATATGGGAAACGGAAGCACAGGACGGCATAGAGGGAAGTGATACGACCGTTGGTAGTGTGGGGAATTCGGAATCTTTCAAATGAAGTATCTTCCAGTAAGTAAAGTCAACCTATGTTTGGAATTCGAGAAGCGTTGTACAGCTGTTTTATCCTTACAGGTAATCATCAGCAATGCGCATCTCACGAAACTCAAAGCCCACGACATCCCGACTGGTAGTTTGAAAACTTAATTTACTATTTATTTACGCATAACTCATCGGTCACGAGCGACTAACTCGTACTTATACAGGATATAGCACCAATCATCCTTCCCTCACGAGAACTACACCGCATGGTTACGAGGTGACTGGCTCATCGAGTGAAGACCTCTAAGACGTTTCACTCATCCGAGGGATTTTATTCTTCCTGTGCCCAATGTTTCTGCGCGCAGAGGCCACGTGTCTGATCCACAAAGCAGTATGGATAGCACTGTCAAGGAGTAAACTCTGCACTTGTGACAGACAAACTGATGTCACGTCAGCACCATAGGTGTCCGAGGTTGACAAAGCTGCCCTTCCAGATTTGATAAGTAAATTCATCTCCAGCCAGTTCACCGGAGCTTATACAACTGCCCAGGTAAATACATTTATCTACAACGTCGACTGGCTCGTCTACAAGCATGACTCTTGTGTTCGATCCCGCGAGATGGCCCAAGTGGTTGGAGCGCGAATTTACTGACCGGAAGGTCCGTGGTTCGAATCCAACCTCCGCCCCTCGACTTCCTCCTGTCTAGGCATGGGCAACCTGGCAGTATCCCAGCCCTCGTGCTTCCTTCGGGTGGCATGGCAGCTAGGCACCGAAAGGGTGCTGCAGCTGAACGCTCTTTCTTTCTTCTTTCGATCCCGCTCGGCTTGTACCAGCACTTTACACTTTACAAGTGGGAAGTGCATGCCAAACAGTGCATTTTTGAAGGATCTCAACCAAGGAGAGCAACATCGTCAGCATGCTCGATGTCTTTGAGTGAACGCCCAGGGAGCACTTCGATCCCCGATGTTTCACAGGCAGGCAGAAGCAACACATCAATAAAGAAAATATGAAGAAAGGCGAAAGAGGGCAGTCTCGTCAATGGACTGAGTGAACCCAAGCGAAAGCCTACCGCATACTCATACTTGCCCACATGAGTTTGCGTATGATGCCCTCATAAAGGATATAAATTTGTAAGGAACACCCTTGACCTCAAAACACCACCAAAGTTTCTGACGATCGACAGAATCAAAAGGAGCCTTCGCTGGACATTTGAAAGAGTGCCGCTGCTCAAGAACCCGTGTCAACTTGAAGATATGACCGATGCATCCTTAGGGGCGGGGAACCCCACATGGATTCTCACAAATTCGTCTCCCACGATAATCGACTAACGCGCAAAAAGTGATGCCAGAAAGCAAACAACATGCGATGGATATCAAGCTCGTGCAACGATAGAATTTGCAGGACATTTTGTGCCCACTTTGAACACTTGGATGCCCCAATCCAATGGCATTCTGTTTTCGTTCCAGAAATAGACAGATTCGTTAAAAAACTGGGTTCCAAGCCGCAAGAGGATGTATCATATTTTCACCCTCCGACAGATTCTGAAACAGCGGCATTACTTCCCACAGCAATGGTTGTCTTCCTTGAGTTGAAAGTTGCCTTTGACTCTATGGACCGCCGGCACTATGGTAGCGTATGTGGAGCAGAAACCTGGTCACTGCGCGAGGAGGACGTCAAAGGGTTTTCAGTGTTTGACCATTGATATCTTCGGCGCAGTACCCGAGTCTGGTGGGAACAGCGGATCAGTAATGCCGAAGAACATCGAATGCTCCTCGGAAGAAATAGCTGATCACAATCCATCCAAACATTCAAGCTACCGTCCTCAATGCGTAGCTCCCCTTCAGAGCTTCCCAGCTAAAAGTTCACTAACAACTCTTTAGTTGCGCATCAATTCTATTAGCTACCGCCTCCAATGCGTAGTTACATACCCCATTTCCTCAAATCATCGGTAAACGGGATAATGGTAAGTGTATCCACTGCACGGCAAGTACGCGGTTTTTAAGGCTGATGATGATGATGAAGTATGGTCATCACACTGCTTACCAAGACCTGAGCAACTTCTTCGAAGAGTGCGGGGAGAAGGCCATCCAGAATGGGTTCCTTGCTGCGTCGAAGGAGTTATATCTCAGGGTGTATTTCTGTTGTTAACAGTGGGTTGGTGTCGACGTTTCATTCAGGCCTGCTGGGTTCTTACAGCGGTTGTGTTGAAGCAGGCTAAATAAAGTGTTCTTCGAAGTGTTCATCCAACTGGTCAAGACGACGATTGATGGAGTTTGCCGTTCCGTTGTTTCTCCATATCACCCACTGACACTGGTCTTCTTTTGGAGTACTGATCGAATCAGCTGAAACAGAATGCGTCTGTTGTTTGTGGCAAAGGCCCTCTCTATCTCCCAGTCCTTCGCAATCCACGAGTGCTCTCTGTCGCTCTCCGAGCTTCTGAGTATCCGGTGTTCGAGGGAACTGTGTGTACCATCAGCGTCGCTAGTTTCTGGTATGCCTTTGCTGGCAGCAATAAAGCCTGTTGATATCGCCGGTAGCCACTGTTCATTTGGTCGAGTTGGATGAGTTGGACAAACAGTTCTGAAGGCCGAGAACATAGTCTCTTTGACTGACTTCCATCCAACGTCAGAGCTATTTTTTCATCCGCATAACTATGCGTTTACAACGTTTCCAGCCAGATCAGCTCATCTTTGAGCGACTGAAACCTGTCGAATTTGATTAATGGAGCTGCTCTGCTTTAGTATGCGAAATGATGACAAAAGCAAAGTGACGATCAGGCCCCATGATGGCACGATCGGGTTCAAATATCGCACCCGAGAAGGAACGACAATCTTTAATTGAGGTTTTTCACTGGCTACTGACAGCCACAATGTCCAAATGAGGCCATGACTGTCTTGTGGTTGGTAGCCTCCAAGTAACGCGATGTGAGCGTTTGTGTTGGAAGTTCGTACTGGTCTGCACACAACTGAAGCAGCTGCTCCCTGTTATCCGTACGATGAGCATCGACTCCAAATCTATTGCCTAACTGTGCTTTTTCCGAACTTGGGCATTCATATCACTCGTCAGGATTACTATATCCGTCCTTCTTGCCGACCGAAGCGGTCGTGATACATCTTGATAAAAACTCATTCTTCTAAGTTCCACAACAAATAAACACCGTTTACCGCGTCGACCTGCATTGAACTTCATTGAGCCAGATAACCACACAGTGCAAATCAGATTGTTTATTGGGATCTATTCCAGTAAGGTGCTTCCAGCTTTGGGGCTGAGTGTGACTCCCGCACCGTACATACCACGAGCCATTGCGTCAGGATCACCGGATACCCGGATAGCGGAATATGGAACATATCGGCTCGTTCTAAGTGGCTCGAGGTGCTTTGTAGACACAACACACATCGACAAAGAGAGGAAGCAAGGTTTCAAAAATAGATGCACGTTGTTCTATTTAACATCGAAGGCTGTAATATGGATCAGGTCTTTTGAGATTGGTAAGTGATTATTTTGGTTTATTTTTCTGGGCGATGGTTTAGACGCGGAACAATGGCTGGGGAACCAGCAGATGGGTTGATCGTACTGCATAATTCGATGAGTGTGAAGGGTGTGCGAGGGAAAGTCGGTCAGCGAATAGGTGCAAGGGTGAATGGTATTTTCAGATTACCCAGAATGATCAATGGCGTTTGATTGAGGTAACCCACCTTGGGCCTTTGACTCAAAAGTCTAATGGGAGGATGTAGGGTTCTTGTTCGGGAACCCTGCCCCTAGCCTCTGACACAAAAGTCTGAACCGTGAGACAGTGGTTGTTACGGTTTTCTTGGAAGACCGTTTTTGGAGCCAGCGACTCAACAGTTTGACTCTCTTGGCTGCAGAGAGAAAGGCGTTACTGTCTTACTAACAATGCGGCCGCTCAGAACCGATGCCTTCTGAGCAGCACCGGACTCATTGGTCTTAAAGGTACCTCGGACGTATTGAAGAATTCGCCGGCGATCACGGCCAGTCAGTGGGCCGCTGGAGTATGCAGGCTTAATGCCGACATATTCTAACCCGTACTCCTCAGAGGAAGGTAGCATCGCTGCTTCCATAAACACAGATATGGTGGTCGCTTAAAGGAGACACCTTTAGACTACCTTTAGACTCCTTTCGCAGAGGACAGTACGACTTGCCACCAGACTGCCTCGTAATACGATTTCTCACTGTATGTGGACTCACTGTTCTTCGTTGGGTTACTCCACGCTGGTCTTCCTGGCATGACCGAATCCTCAGAAACTGAGTTCCAGCTACTGTAATCAGCGGGATCATTGCAGCGAAGAAGTCGTACCACCATGAGAATGTTATAGCCTTAGGCCTGGTCTGGGACAAACCCTGTTAAGCGTGTGGTTAACTGTACTGCCCAATCGACGGAGTCGAACGCACCCTTGGAGTCAAAGAACACTAAGATTGTGGGTCATCTGTTCATAGGGCGTTGCTCCGACATCTGATGGGGTGTGAAGATAAAGGTCGGCAAAGCCTCCACCCGCACGAAATTCTGCGTGATGCTGACAGGTCAATGATTGGCGTGTGGTCGTGAGATGATGAAGAACCAGTGGTGCAAGGAGTCCTGTTACAACAGCAGTCAAACTGACACCCATGTAGTGAGCACCATTATCGAGCGACGCCGGTTGTTTGGGATAGTCTCTGTCCAAGACTGGCGTGAATATGCTAGACAGACACTAGCCGAGGATTTCACTGCCATCCCTGAACACGGTGGGCGAAAGGTTGTCAGGACCAGGAGCACGATGACACTCGAGTAAAGAGAGGCACTCAGGCACTCCCGAGGCTGAAGAGGGCTCCATCAAGTCAATTCAATCTATCAGCTATAAACCGTGTACCCTAGGCACATTGGTTACAGCTGATACAATTTCGATCACTAGAAAACGGGACAGTGTGGGATATAAAGTTAAGCCTTGGAGGCGATGGCATGTTCAGTTAGTTCGGGGATTAAGTAGCTACGCATTGAAGATGATAGCTTTGATGCACAAGCGCCATTGACTGCTCAATTGAGCTATTTCTGCCAGTGTCATTAACCATTGGTGAGACGAGTCCCAGGGTCCCCATCCAGAGAGGCAGCAGTTGCCAACCCGATTAAGTTTACCAGTCGGTGTTTCCGCACTTTGTTCTCAGGTCATACAATGTCCAACTCTCGGGGCTTCCATTCAGCACAGGTAGACAAGTTTATCCACCACGTCGGTTGGCTTACCTGCAAGCATGTGTGGGTTTGATCCCACCCAGTCTTGTAGCAGCACTTTACACTTTTCAGGTGTGAAACACATGCCAAACTGTGCGGCACAGTTATCCAGGTTATTCAAAATCGTCTCTTTGGGAAGGATCTGAACCACGGAAAGCAACAACATCCGCATATTCAATATCTGTGTGTGAAAGTCAAGGGAGCCTTTCGACTCCTGAAGTTTCAGAGGCAGGCAGAGAAAGTTCGGTCGGTATATCAATGACAACGTTGAAGAGGAAAGGTGAGAGAGGATAACTTCGTCTAACATCACTGGACGCAACGAACTCAGGCGAAAGCTTCCCATATACTCGTATGCATACAGTGTCCTCATAAATGATATGGATTTGGAAGGGATACTTTTGCTCCCTAGACACTACTAAAGTTTATTACGACTGACAGAATCAAAAGCAGCTTTCAAATCAAGGAAAAAGGCCAACGCGGGACGTTTGAAGGAGTGATGCTGTTCAAGAACTTGCCTCAAGGTAAAGGTATGGTCGATGCCTCCTCGACCAGAGCGAAACCCAGCTTGATTCTCATCGATCTGTCTCTCCCGATAGTCCACCAACTTGCGCAAAATAGTGCCAGATAGCACTCGACTTGATAATTAGGGGTCACCAGTTGGGTATGCTGATCTCCATAGGACTACTTTCTCCTGTTAAATCTCAGGTACTGCTCCGCAGGATCTACCTTGTACACGGGACATTCATGTGAATACATGCGCGGGTCAGCGCAAAACGTGTGGCGATACCCGTGGTGTGAAGAAGCCCACCTGAGTATTTCGATGTGGCAAGCCAATCCGGAGACGGATTCCAGCCTACCATGAGTCTTACCAGCAAATTATCTACGGATTCCCGCTGTTTCGTCGATTAGCTCATAGAGTAANCTTACCAGCAAATTATCTACGGATTCCCGCTGTTTCGTCGATTAGCTGCGAACATAGAGTAATATGGAAGAGCGTGTGAGTGAAGCAACAATTAACATGCTGCATTTCGTGCAAGAGGAACAACTGAAAACCTGAATATGTGAGTTAGCACTAATCGGCACCCGGATCTGTCGCACAACCGCCATCGCGGGAGGTATAGCAATTTGAGTAGCCGTTGATGGAAATCACATAAGTCAACACGAGTACACCTGTACACTCAAACATGCTAACGTGTAGGATATTAGTTATCCTTCTTAGTGGGAATAAGGTAACTCGATAGGGGTAATGTGATGATGCACGCAAGCCCTAATGATCTAATATGTTGATTCGGAGTATTCTGCACGTAACATTAATCACGACAGAGCAAATAATTGCTGTCTAGGCAGCATTCGGTTTATATGGGGCAAAAGTGTACTAAGGCCCTTCAAACCGCAACTGATTATCGGACTATATTTCACGGTGATGATGTATAAAACTCACCTGACGAACAATTCCAATCTGGCGAGCTCGCAAGCATGAGAGCGAGGGACAACTTCACCAGGTACATCCCACAGACATCCGGACAAATACTGCGTAACAATGTGTTCCTCGCTTCCAATGCTTCTGTGAAGTTAGTAGTTCGAGCCCAAAAAGACTGAAAATCGATTATCCGTTCAGCCGGCAGTCGAGCATGTCTTTAATTCTGACAAATTTTCCACGTAATTCGCTCTAATCCACAAAGATATATCACACGGTGAATTCTCCCGTGGTGTTTGCCATCTACGAGTGACAATACCATTGACTACTACATCATCACCTGGTTTCACCGTTTCCACCAAATCATCTTCTAGACAAACGCGGATGGAACGAGGCATAACTCCGACAGATAAACAACGAAATCGCTCGTGGACTCGTATTTCTTGATAGTTTTTCGCGCAAACAACATTGTCCGCAATAGGTTTTAGATACGTGGCACCACATGGCGGATCACGGTTAGGACAGTAACGGGGAGGCTTTATCATATATTGGTTCTCGAAACATGCATCCACTGGGAATCTGTAACCACATTTGGAACAAACATAAGTTGCACGTCCTTGAAGAACTTGTATTGGTCCAACGCGGCTAACTGTGCATCGGAAAGCGATAAATCTCCCAACGTCCGAAGATAGGGGAACGGTTGTCCTGTGAACTTCCGGAATGACGGGCAGTGCGGTAAGGCGGACGTGTACGAATGACTCGAAGTCAGCACGCACTGGCTCATTTGTGTTCTCATGTGAAGACAAGCTTGCACGAAGTCCCTCATTCAGCAACATTAGTGTGTTCTCTGGTTTGACCAAGAGCAGCTCAGAAAACATGTTGTCGAACTCACAGAGGTAGTTGAAATGTACCACAACGATGAAGGAGCAGTGGACTGCATTGAAATTTGCAACAAATCGCTCCGATGGTCGCGAAGGAGGTATTCACTGAACAAAGCAGATACATACTCCTTGTTTTTTCTATTGTTAAGTGTACGTGGCATGACTGGTAAACTGTTCAAAAGAATATGAAGAAAACAAATTCAGGTGATCATAGGAGGTAAGAAACAAGCTCGGAAGAGCCGGGTGAAAATTAGTAAAGATATATTGTGGATAAAGTCGAAAACACTGCAAACTAACAAGACATGTCATCAAGACAATGAAACCTATGCCCTAGATGCTGGAATACAGAATAAGAGCCAGCAAGGCTTGCAAAGGACATCCGTATGACGCGAAATTAAAAGTTTGAAGCTACCATTCAATACTTATTCCACCCCTACTTTTCTAATAAATATAAAGACGTTCTTTGGAAATTTAGTGATACCTGCAGTAAAAAAGCTATGCATCGATTTGAATGTTTATCCATCGTCAATATTTTGCGTTGTGGAGCACAGAAGTTTCCTCACTTCTTAATCCCGACCTAAAGCTGCCACCCTGACGTGGTGGTCGGGCTTGAGTGCTGCAACGATCCCGCGGGCTACACTGGCTGGAACTTCGTTCCACAAGGTGCAACCATGCCAGGAAGGCCAAAGGGGAGCAACCAGACCAAGAGCAGCGAGACCCCGTATTACGAGTAATCGTGCTACGAGGCGGTCTGGGGGTAAAGTCGTACTGTCCTCTGCGACAGGAGTGTGAAGGCAGTAAGGTGTTTCCCCCAGGCGACCAGCATGTCCATATTTATGGAAGCAGCGATGCTGCCTTCCCTTGAGGAAGGACGGGTTAGAAAAGGTCGGCCCCA